CTCCCTGCAAACTCCAAACACCCGGCTTGCATCTGTCCTCTACTGCAGCCTCCCTATCTCACTCCCACCGCTCTTCCAATAGCTCCGATCCGCGCTTCTATGCGGTAGGTCATCCACCCTCACCTACCACCATCTTCTGTTGTTGTTTCCCGAGGGGAGACCCTTCTTCCGGGCCCCTGCTGTCGGCTATAGTTATGCCATTTAGTGGCGTAACTATCTCCAGTCGAAACCCTGACTTCATCTTCAATACTAACCCTGACATTAACCCTTAACTTACCCTCATCTTAACCTTAAACCTTATTGTAACGGTAGCCAAAGCCGGGGTGTCACCGCCTAATTATGCCTCGTGTGAGTCCCCGAAGGAAGAACATGACAAGAAGAAGACAAAAGCAGAATTATTTGAGTGTTACTAGTAAAACATCTTTAGGGAAGCAAACGTGTGTAGTACGATGTCCATCGAGCCAATCAGCTTCTGCCCTGGCGTGGGTAGTGGCACGATTGGTTGCTGACTCGACGGCTGACTTTAGCTTGAATTTTAAATTATCGATTGATTGAAAGCCCGTATGCGTTCGCCTCATGTAGGCCGATCGATAGCCTGTTCTGGGCGCGGCTGTTTGCTGCCTGCTATCTACCTGTTAGGCTCGTCCTAACAAACCTAACCATAAAATTAACCCTACTTTCCCTGGAATTTGTCGCACATACACATGTGTTGCGGGCGCTTCCTGTTCTCATGTCTTATTAAAGGGGGCATATAAATCATCCTTTTCGTTTGTTGCAAATTTCTGCTACCGGAAGCAACAAACAAACCGTTGCACTTTTATCGCTCATGTTTATGTGCTCTCTATGGCCAGCCTACACCACCGACGACAGCTTCTAAGGCGGCGTCACAGTCGGAGAGCAGTGTTCACTTCAGCACCTCGCCACCCCTGGTTCCCCCGACCGCCCCGCACAGCCCACCCGCCCTGGATGCCGATGAGTTGGAGGCGCAGGAACTGACTCTGGGTGAACTGGTTGTCAAGGCAGTTCACCGTATTCTTTGGCCAGGCGAAAGCGCTCTCAATGGAGATAATGCCGTCAACGTGGTGAATGAATCTGTAACGGTACGCTTCTGTTCTCGCTTTCTTCATCTCGGCGCCCACTGCCTTCTACCGCCTAGGCGGGACGTTTGTTGCCATAACAACTTTTAGACTATCGCTGAGTTGGTGGTGCTCAAAAAGAACATTTTAAATCCTCACAATATGCTCCGACATGAGGCGTGATAGTTCTCAATTGACCTCTAGTGACTTGTTTACATTGATGCTTTACGGAAATCAGGTATTCAGTTGGGATCGGTGAGCGGTCTGTCCTGCATTCGTCGTCAACTTCGCTTGATTTATCGGGGCTTCGTAACAAGTACAATC